GTGGGGTGGGGTGGGGTGGGGTGGGGTGGGGTGGGGTGGGGTGGGGTGGGGTTGGGGTGGGTTGAGTGGGGAGGGGTGGGGCTCACACACATCTGAGCACCCTGGATTAACACCCGGCCTGTGCACCTACCGTAAGAACCCAAAGTATGGCCACTGTTTAGGCACCCCGCATACGGAAGCCGCGTGTACATACATCCCCGCGTGTACAGACGATCCCCGTCACCGCGTGTACAAACGATCCGATTTCCGCGTGTACAAACGAACCCCTGCCCGGGGGGGGGGGACCGCCAAAGACCCCCAACAGACTTCCTCCGTGGAGCTGAACACGTCCACCTCAGCGCGAAGAGCGTCCCCTCGCTCGAAGAGCGTCCAAGCCCGTGCCCAGTGGCCAGAAGCCGACCTTGGAGCAAGCGGGGTGAGGCAATGGGGAGGAAGGGCTGAGCTCAACTGAACTAAACTGGTTGGTTGGTTGGTTGATTGGTTGGTTTCTGGCTAATGGTAATGGATGGTTGGTTGGTTCAACTAAATTGGCTAATTGCAACTGCGAAAAAGAATGCACGTTCGCAGCTATGGGGTCCGGAATGCGTTCAAGAAGTCCTCTTACAGTTGATAACTTTTATCCTTGTATACATATATACATATATATACGTATTTGTTGTGCGCGTGGCACTGCTATGCACTGCTTCCGGGGTGTGGATCCCAAATATCCCAACACTGTCACTGGCTTCTCAGCCGCCAGCACTAGCCTTGCATGGCGGCCACAGCAGCAACAGCAACGGCAATGCTCATGTTGATGGAATTTTCACTTCACGGCATCAAATATGTTCACATCTTCAACTGATCCCTCAGTTCAACGAGAGAATGAAACTCAACCGTTGGTCCACCCCCTGATCCAACTTCGGGGAATCCGGCTCCCCCAACAAGGTTGCTTTTAGGCCCACCACTGATTGGTTGGGTCAACAAACATATTGATCATATTGTAATATAATACTATATATATATATATATTAAAACAAAAAACATTCCAAAATAATACATTCCAAGAACACACATATTATAATATGTAATACATTCCAAAAGAGACAGCATTGTTTTAAAAAATCAGCAGATCTAAACCGTCCCAATGACCTGGAGAGAGTCGTCGTGCCAAGCGACAGCAGAGCGTTGTGGCCAGCTGTGGTCAAAGTGATGGAAGCACAGGGAAGACATCCTGATGAAGCTATTCCGATTGGTTTAAGGCTTAGGAGAAAATCTACAGAAAACTCGCCCAAACTATGGGTGTCCTGTAAATGTGCACTTAAGGAACCAATCCAGCGAAGAAAATTGAAGAAAAACATGGAGGAAGACTTGGACGGCTTGGAGACTCCACATCTAAAAGCATCACCCCTGACGAAACGGAGTCTCCATAGAAACGATTCCTGGTTCCCCTTATGGCTCAAAACGTCCTTTATGGGAGGTGTCCACTCCCCTCATTTCATAGAGGTGTCCACTCAGGGGTATCTAGAAGCACCTACCGTACCTGAGAGGGTGCATTCCTACCTGCCAAATGGGTTCTTGTCAATGAATCCATCCCATCACGCGCTTCTGTGTGGCTCACTGTAGCACTGGGTGCCTACAGTGACCCTTTTCAAACAGGTCCAGCCACCAGCCTCAACCCTCTTGGAGCCTCCAAGGCGAAGACCATTTTCCAGTCCTTCCTTGAAGGCTTTACGGGTCCCGGGTCAGCGGGGTTTCCAAGGCCTGGGTGTGAATTCGACGAAAACCCCTCAAAGCGTGTCACTCTTCTTAAACCCATACTAAATCCATCTGAGCTCTTTTCACCTCCAGGTGGCGTCCGAGCTCCAAGGCCTTTTGCCAATGGGAAGCCGCTAGCAGGGCACTCCAACCTCAAATCCGACGGTTCTGACCGGTCTGATTCTACAAACATGTAGCAAACCCAAATTTCCGGATCGTCCAGGTCGAAAGTGATATCTGATCCTCCGATCGTCGTTCCAAGGTGACAAGCATTACTGATATTGAAATCACCCGTTTTTTTCAGTTGATGACCCAAGTTGGAAGTCTGTAAGTGACCTGTAAAACAGGCCTGTTGGTCAGTGACCGAACTAACCAGGTTCGGTCACGTTCGGTGGCGGTACTTCTGATCGATCGGGGGGGTTCTACAAACCAAGTCAGATCACTCGGCAAACCCGATCAGTCAATGACAATGTGTTCCTTTCATTTGGTGTGCCTACGCGTGCTTTCTGAGAGCCAGCTTTATTAACCACATATTGTAACTTAAGCAAAACACAAACCTCAATTTCCTCGTGCTTGGAACTTCCCTGTGAATATGGTGGTTGATCTAAATTCCTTTCATCTGGAAAGTGCCTCTTCGCGAAAAAAAAATCGCGAACCCCATGTTTTACTTTCGCGAACTTTCGCGAAGTATGATCTTACATATTCAGAAGAAGTTCGGGTACATGGGTATATATAGTAGTTAAAGGAAAACTATATAGGTATGCATGATGTAGCCCCCAACTCAACTTTGCAACCCCTAACTGACTTCTCACCTGGAGCCCCATTGCGTATGCATTCCCGAAAAGTTCCGACTATATCCATCCTACAATCTTTCTGTCTGACTTGAACCTAAAGAGACATGAGGCAACCCCTTCTCAGGACAACCCGTCTTTCGCGAAGATTTTCGCGAACTTTCGCGAAACTTTCGCGAAAAACCGGACATGTTTTGGACAAATTCCCAAGTTTCTTCAGCAATGGATCGAACCTTTCCATTGGCGTACCGAGTTTCCTCTGAGACGAAACCCGGAAGACAAGGCTTGGTGACAATTGCACAAAGACTCTGATTTCCTTCTGAGCTGGTGCTCTGAAAAGATCACAGTAAGCAAACAAATAAGGGTCCCTTTACCTACAAATAACATACATGGTTACATGAACTTTCGCGAAAAAAAGATTACTTTCGCGAACCCTGTGTTTAACTTTCGCGATCTTTCGCCCGGTTGGTACTTAGTAACCGAAATGGCTGTTCCATATGAAACTCCTTTCATGGACCTTTAGATCGATGCCCATATGCATATCCGATGTGTCCACGCGGTCACACGACAGGAGGTTTTTGTCCATGAAAACCATTCTGTTCACTGGTCTGCTCGAGTATGCAAAGGGATGCTAAAGAAAGATAACACCGCGCCCTGCTGACTGTGTTCTTGCGGGCGTTTGTATGGTGTGACAGGCAGTTCAACACGGTCACCAGACCACGCAGCACCTGAGTGAATGAGCGAGTGACTGTGAGCGTGGGTGAGAATGAGAAGCCATGTGAGTGAGAGTGAGCGTGGGTGTTGTGAGTGCGAGTGAGAGCGAGAGAGTCAGAGTGAGAGTGCACGTTGTCAGCGTGAGAAGACAGAGGTCAGATCTGCAAGCTACACGATCACACATCTGAGAACACAGTCACCAGAGCACACATCAAGGTAGTGAATGAATGAATGAATGAATGAATGAATGAATGAATGAATGAATGAATGAATAAATGAATGAACGAATGAATGAATGAATGAATGACTGAATGAATGACTGAGTGAGTGAGTGAGTCGCCCACAGTCACCAGAGCGCCCTAGGTGGAACCACGCCAGGATGCTGTGCCTGTCACGAACTCAGCTCTGCACGTCGAGGGTCACAAAGTGCTGTACCTGCCACGAAGTCTGCGCATCGAGGTTTAAAGTGCTGTGCCTGCCACGAACTCTGCGCATCGAGGTTCACAAAGTCCTGTGCCTGCCACGAACTCTGCGCATCAAAGTGAGGTTCACAAGTGCTGTGCCTGCCACGAAATCTGCACTTCGAGGATTACAAAGTACTGCGCCTGCCACGAAATCTGCACATCGAGGTTCACCAAGTGCTGTGCCTGCCACGAAATCTGCACTTCAAGGCTTCAAGGTTCACCACAAGTGCTGCGCCGCGAAGCGCGAAATCTGCAAACGAGCCACATGTCCAAAAGTCACGATTCACTGCACCTGTCACGAAATCTGAGCTCCTCGACGATCACCACCATGTCCAAAGTGCTGCACCTGCCACGAAAACTTAATTTCGAAGTAAAACAGCTCCGATCCCTTGCACCTGTCACGAAAAGTCGACTTTGAAGCTCGAAAACACGAGGTTTCCATTGCACCTGCCACGAAAAGTGACCATCATGTGCGGAAATGCGCACGACACCACAACAAGAGCGCAGTCGTTAGAAGCACCCCCCCGCGGGCCCCCAGACTTTGCGAGCCTGCGCAGTCGAAATGCGCACTGACGATGTCGAGAGGCATGAATGTACTGTAAATAGCAGCGAATTAGCCGGTCACGGCCGCGCGCTTCAGCGATCTAAGCATCAGCTGCTTTTCACTTATCGTAAGAACCCCTAGTGTGTCCACACTGTTTGGGAAAAAACACATGAGAAAACACACGCTTGCCACCTGATGCTAGTCCCCGATCTAAAGTATTTGAAACCTGTATCGCTCACTCCCCCAAAAAGCTACCATTCCTTTGTCCACCCAACTACTGATTGTAGTGAGGGGGAATGGGTAAGAACGCCTAAGTAACAGGCAAGAAGGGGCAAGAACACCTACCTACGCAAAAATGCATTTAAAATTTGAACTAAAGCATTCAAACACTAAACAACATGCAAGTATATGCAAGTGAAGCAAAAGTGAATTCCTGATGTACAAATGATTTTCGTCACTGTGGAAATTCCTGGAACCAGTGGTGGGTGGAATCTTATTGCCGCCAAAAGGACAAGAATGCCAGAAGGGGACAAGAACCCGTATAGGGGGCAAGAGTGCCTAAGCAGACATTTCTGGCCAAGAAGAGGTTCTAGGTACAGTATTTGTATATCCAATCGGTTCAAACAGTGCTGCAGCGTTGTTGGCTCCTTCCAGATCTCTCCAAGACCAGCTGAATCCAGCTGAAGAAAATCGTTCCCACTAAATAGAAAACCAAAGAAACAAATCATGAAATTCATTACACGCTCCCCTCCCTGGCTTCCCAGTTTAAATCCGGAATTTATTCGACCCATACATACATGCATAATACAACATAACATCACATCACATACATACCGATACATACACCCTCAAAGAGTTGTCATAACACAGGCTTATACGCGGCGGCTTTTCGCGATGACATCACTATATCCATACTGACATCAGTATATCCTTCCAAAACCATCACCAACTCGTCCACACCAACTCATGCAGCCGTGCCACACACCGAATCCAGCTGTAAGCCTCCATCGTTCCAAGTGTGGGTTCCCACTTGCGCACGCGCCTGCGCCAGGCTCAAGCCTTTCCGCCAGGGATGTGCGGCCAATAGCGGGGTCAAAGCCATCTGGTCGAGCTGGACCTGGGCCGTCCAAGCAGCACCTAGGCCACGCGATCCCGCAATCGGAGACCAAAGCGAAGTCGTGGGCGAAGCTGGGAACACCGTGCCAAACATGAATGCAAATGCAAATATGTGGGAAATTAAATGTGTCTCAAAAAAGGTGATTTGCCTAAATTGCACTTCCATTGGACACTTGGACAGGATGGCAAGTCTAAGGAGGTGGTGCCATCAAAAACGTGTAATTAGGAATGCGTGTTTTCAAATTATTCCATATGTTTCCGATGATGGTTCAGGTTCTGAGAAAAAAAATCGGACATGATTTTGCACATCGGACGGAGCGTGGCCCCAATCGCTCGAGCTCCGGACTCAAGAAATAGGACGACCGCTCGGTTTGGAAAACGGAACTTCGAAGTTCACCCCCTGTTTGGTATTTGCAAAATGCATCAACATTCTCTGCCTGGGGCCTATTGAATCGATTTTCCACGTCCGAATGTGGGTCAGAGTGTATCTCCCTGTTCCAGCCTCCCCTCGCTCGAACTTGAACCAAAACGCCCAACACCACTTCCCCCACCCACGGAACCTGGGACCACGATATGGTTTATCTTCAAAGAACTTTGTGTTTCTGTATGTCTGTGTTCACCAACTTTAAACATTGGTTGAAAACAATGGCGAATGAACATTGAGTGGCCTGGAACGAATTGGAATGACATATAGTGAACAAGGTCTGTTTTGTTGTGAAAAATGTCACTGGCTGTGACGGCTCCACATCAAATCGACCAGCCCTCGATTGAATTCAGGCATACACTCGTAACTTCCGTATTGAAATTGTAACCCATCAAAACAACTTAGGAGTGGCAACGTTGACTTCCCCGCGTGTGATTGCATACCTTTCTTTTCATATACCTTTAAACTATTAAGTGTTATTATAGCTATATATATATATCTTTAAAATGCTTTAGTTTTTTGAAATATATGTTGTAGGATGTTGGCATTTGTTATGTTTTGATTTGTTTTGGAACGATGTTCATTGCAAAGAAGCAGCCTTCAAGTCCCAACCTTCCACAAACACGTAATAAAAGGAACACTGCGCCCAGTGCCGCTGGCTGACGACGAGGTTGTTTGCGGCGCGCACGAGGTGTTGTGTGGGACTTGGGCCCCAAATCCGATCAATACCCAGTCAGTCAGTCGTACAACCACGGTAAAACAGGTAAAACCATTTAAAAAAGTCACAGGACCCAACAGATGAGGAGGTCGCTTTTCTACTTCCCCTTTCTCAACTGGTCTTGGAATTGATTGGACGACAACCTTTCTTGGTAAACGCGAATCAAACGTTGCGCAAAGATTGCGACGTCACGTCAAACAACATTAATGTTGTTTCAATGTGTTTTGCAACATGTATTTAAGTAATGATTTGTCTATAGTTTGGAGTTGTCAAACGGTTTTCTGGGCAACATGAAAAACAAACATCATTGGAAACCGGTACCCTGAAACCTAAAAATTGGCCCCAGTCCGAAGCAATACGTTTACAAACAACATCAAACGACCACTAACTCTGCTATTTGGGGTCCAGGATTGTGCGAACCGAGGTGCCGGCAAACAAGAGAGCTTCATGCCAGCTCAACTTCAAAGCGCAGGCGTTCATGGCATGCCTGAGGTCTTCCAGAGCAAACAACATGTCGGTTCAGCAAGGAAAGGTCCATGTTCATTATGCAACACATGCCTGGATAGTACTACCTCCTGAGAAGGTACTTGGGCAGGCTTTGGGTGGAGGATGTGCTTGGATGTTTCTGGCAATGAATCGGACTCCCTTCAAGGCAGTCTTGCCACAAAAAGGTGCTCGCTAGTTTTACGTGTGATGCCCCTACTGTGCAGTTGCACGCATGTGGCTAGGATTTTAAAACAAGTTTACTTGCGGCATCACAGGGCTAACAATCACAGGGCTACGCACAAGTCGACAAACACAGAAGCCCCTCAACATCAAGGCAACATTCAGAAAAAAACATACAGATTGCATCCCTTCCTTGGCTCAGCCGTGAGTGAACGTCCCAGGTGCGTAAAAGTAGCGACATCGGGAAAAACTCGTTGCAAGTTCATCATACCTTAGCTTCACTTCAATGTCCAACCTACTTGGGAGTGCTTCAGTCAGAGACCCGGCTAAAAGGAGAGCTTTACCCACGGCACGGCGGGTTACACCAGTACTTCCAAACAAACACATGGTTTCACTGCCTGCGCGCGTGCGTTCAAATGCGAAGTTACAAAAACAGCTATGAAGGTACCTTGACCTTCGGGTCAGGGTGTCCAGGGCTGGGGCTTCCATTGGTGACCCCGACATGAAGGTGCTGGTTTGTTAAATTCTGCATGTCATTGCATTGCGGCAACGGATGTGAAGACGGAGTTCTGAGAAAACATGCCTTGCATCAAGTCTTGAAGAAGGCTGTGTACAGAACCTATACCATGTGTATAGAACGCATAGTACTATAGCATACTATATGTGCCCGAAGCCTAGAAGTCCCGACGATTTTATTCCACTGAAGTAGAGGACGCTCCTTTTTTATCGTCTCCAGTCTCAAGTCTTTAAGGTCGCCGACTTCCAGGTTTTGACATGGGGTCAATCAAAAAGAAAGAAACCACCAGTCATCCATCGCGTCATGTTCAACTCGATACATCAACTCAATCCACCAACTCCGCTGGCCGCTGTTTCACCAGCTCCGCCGGCGTCTCCGTCGGTTCCCGTCTGTTCGGTACCGGTCGTGCCGCGGTGCGCAGAACTGCGCCGCTGAGCTGCCAAGGCGTCCGGTGCATGGCTGCGTTGAACGAGATCCTCGGTGTGAACCACCGAGGACCGTGCGTGCGGTTGGCGTGGTAAGCGGCGCCCAATGGTGAGTCAGTGGACCCAGTAAGCTTTCTCTGCGTATATCGCGATCAATGAGACACTCACACATATAATAACATCATGAAGTTTTCGTGCATGTGATCCCAAAAGGAATGATTGTATAAACCATATAAAACCTAATTAATGGATCTGACCCCTCCCGTGCGAATCCGCTAGCAAGTCCCTTTCGTTTCACTCCAACATCGCCCCAGTCAACTGTGGGGTAGCTGTTGAAGAATCCCCAACTCAACCAAAAACCACACCACAAAATCCACACGAAGATCCGCAACCCGATCTTTCAGTTCCCTTCGCCATTTCGCCGCAGGTCATCTAGACCGCATCTTTCATATCCCTTTGTCACCCCTTCAAATCCCGTCTTCTTCCCCTTCAAATCCCTTCCTTTCGCCGACTCGAGGTGCACGTCGCCCGCGATGGAGCCGCTGGACATGTCGGTCAGCAGGGCGCAAAGCCGGGTCCAAGTGGATGGCGTGCCTCCATGGGCAGCTTTCAACACGGAGCTCCAGCAAACCTGGGAGGAAAAGGCAAAGAGCCAACATCCAAAAGAACCCAGAGCCCAGAACTCATGTTGTAGAATGTTCTAGATTGTTCTAGATTCAAGGGTCACTGGACATTCATGAACCCAGAGGCCAATAGGGGAACACCAAAAGGTCAATTTGCGTTGACATTGAGCAATCAACAACCAGCCAACAGGGCCAACACCATCCATATCTATATGACACATCGACTCTAAACACGTAACTTTCATTGGACCCAGCCGTTCGCTAAGTAGCTCGGTTCCATGGCTTGGTAGTCCCCGGTGGTGCCATCGCTCCCGACGAAGGATACTGAGCATTGCAATTGGGAAGGCTGCCAGTGTTTGGGGACCATAGTGAGGACCCCTGCCGAACGCGAAGTACCACGCAAGCTTCGGCTACTTGGAAGGCATATATACCTACAAGGAGCGCTTCGCTTCGTCACCCTGTATCCATCAGCTCTGAGCAGCCACATCAGCTCGGAGCTGCCACCGGCGCAGCAGTCGAAGCGTCTCGCTCGTGTGGCGCCACAGCGGTCGAGCGGCACGTGCACTGGTGACACTGATCAGGTTCCGCTGGATCCTGAGCCGGCTGAGCTGAATGGGAAGGGTCCCAGGGTCATCCAGGGTCCAGCTTCGAATTAGCTCGAGTCGATGGAAGCTCTGGAGAATTCGGAACATACACCAGCACCACCGAAGATCGCAGGGTGACTGGATGGTTAAACTAGTTTCAACAATGGTCATGGGCCATGCGGTTCTACAAATCACCCTTTCGTGGGTGGTGCTGGCAATGCAGTACATTTTTCTAAGAACAGAGGCATCAAATGGCGTCAGTGCCAGGTACCGTAATGTTTGTTGAATTATTGATTGCACACTTGGTGTCCCCCTACTACTCAACATACCGCAAAAAGCCACCTATGCTAGGGAAGTACGCATCTAACTTTCAATCCATGCCAGGACCTTGCAACAGGTGGTGTTAGGACCCAAAAGGTGGTGTTAGGACCCAACAGGTGGTGTTAGGACCTGACCAGATGTGGTGCACTAGGCCAGCTGTTGTCACCAGGATGGCCAGCTGTTGGAGGGTCCAGGTGCGTGTCAGGCTGGGCTAAAGAGAGGAGGTCATGCTGCATGCTCCTGAAAAAAAAGGGTTTGTTGGAGGCTGGAGGCTTGCTACTCACTACTCCTCAAGAACCCCATGTGACCACTAAGTTGCAAAGGAAAAAAGTCCTCAAGAGGTGTTTGTTCATAGGTCAATGTACTAATTTGTCTGCAGGCTGTAAACCACGAGCGTCATGAATTATGACAATGTCAGGCGTCCCTTCTTGGGACATCCGGATGAATAGGCTGCCCAACAAGCTCCAGCACCGTCCACGCTCCAGCGCATTCAGCACGGCAGTGTAGCAAAACACGTCGGGCACGAGCAAGTCGTCCTTTTTCGGGGCCATGCCAAGAAAGGTCTCTCCAAATGCTCAGTACCAACGGTATTTCTTGGAGTCTTCCTGCGTGCCACAAGGGGCCTCAAGGGTCGTTTCTGGTCCAAGATCTCGTTCTTAAGTCCATATACAGGGCTCCTGAAAGTCCCGACGTTGATTGGATTTGGGGAATTGAAGAACCGGGAAACAAGTACAATAGATTCTCCGGGATTCACCCTGTTGGGGGAAATCAACTACCACCCCGTTAACAAAAGAAAAGGTATCCTGATCTCCGTGCTTCAGCAGGAAGAACGTTTGTTCTTTACCGAATCTAACATCTACGTGGATCAGCCACGGTCGAACTAAGAAGAAGTCCATTTAGTGGATCCATCAGCTACGTGGATCCATCTTAGTTCGAATTAAGAAGTCCATTTTGCATGGCCCTGTTTTATAACGAAACAGCCGTGGAGAGAGGAAATTCGACCATGTGAGGTGACAAGCTGTGCGTCGGCAGCAGAAATAAAACAGGCTTTCGGCCGGGAAGGACGGTCAATTTGGAACATTCAAGAAGAAAAACGTACGTCCTAGGTGGTATATCCATCAACATAAGATCAATTGCCACTCCTCCAAGGTGAGGGGTGGGTGCTGGTAGATCGCTGGGTGCCGGTCGCTGCGTGCTGCTTCGTCTCATCTTTATGTAACATGTTTTTCATCAGATCCATTTTTGGATGAGAATGATGCATGATGATGCAGGATGAACGCTGCCAATCATCCTCCAAGCTTCATTTGATGCTTCTAATCCATCCAAGGACTTTCTCCATTTGGTCGCCTTCGCATAGCTTCCCAAGAGCGCCTGGGCGCCGGCCGATGGATGCGCACACATCTTTCAATCACCAGCAATGGGATCAGCTCCAAAGCTGAAAAACTGTTTGTTGAGTGGTCAGTGGTAGCTTAACCAAAGTTCCGGAGGCAAACATACAAATGAGGAATACCGAACCACCCTATGCGTTAGTCGTCATAGATATATTCAGCAAGATGGGCGACGTCATACCTATGAAGAACCGAGATGGGGAAACGGTCTTACCAGCGTTGAAGCAGAGTTTTAAGAAGATGGGTTTTCCAATGTCAATATACAGCGATGATGACGGAGCATTTCAAGCAGTAGTCTCAAAGTTGTTCAACTATGAAGCAATCAATCATATCATCACAAGAACACACGCTAATGTTGTGGAGCGTTTCATCAGAACACTTAAGAACATGATACACGACAGGGTTAGATTTAATAAGGCAGGATGGACAAGTATGCTCCCACATGTCTTGAAGAAATACAACAACAGCAAACACTCATCAACAAAACTCACACTCACACCCAACGAAGCACACAACGACAAGAACCACATGGATGTAAAAGTAAATCTGACGAGAAGAGAACAAAACACGAGGAAGTATGTTGAGATAAAAGAAAACGAACCTTCATGAAGGGAAGAGGCAACTACACCGATAGGAAAGAGACAGCCAGCAAATGGTCTAAAGACAACTACAACGTGAAACGCATCAAATACAATACAACGGGAAACAGAACCTTTCAACTGGAAGGATTGACTAAACCCTTCTTTCGTCACGAGATACCAAAGGTTTGATATGATGTCATAAATCAGTTCTTCGGGTACTCTGTATAGTTCATCTTGTGTCTTCTTCCTTTGTTCATCCCATCTGCCTTTACACGGTAGTCTTTGTGATGTCTCTTTGTGTCTGTTCCCTGCCATGCTATTACAATCCTTGTTACATAAAGGTCTAGGTTTCCAACTCTTTAGGTTCGTCCATATCCTTGTCCGCCTTCTACAATCAAAACCATACTTACAATAATCCACATCGTAGTAATCAAACTCTTTCATAAAGTCCTGTTCCTTCAAGAGTCCCTGGATTTTCTACAAAGAATATTCTCGGTTGAAAGTAGTCTATGATTTATGATTTCAATGGTTTTCCTGACAACGCTGTTCTCATAATCTATGTCTAACTCCCGTCGTTTTTGCTCTGCTGTATTCGGTACAAGGCGGTGATGCCCAAATTATGTCAAAGTCTGTGTCATACTGTTGATAGTCGAGTCCCATTGTAGTGTATCTTCGTTGATGTTTGTGTTCTTCAAATCTAATGATATGACACTAAAACCGAATTCACGGGCAACTCTGCCAACACCGTCTGTTCCACTAAAACCGAATTCACGGGCACTTCTGCCAACACTGCCTGTTCCACTAAATAACTCCAATAGTTTCATATGAAAGTATCATACGGAAATATTCACGCAAGTTCATAAAGTCCGGTTTCATCGTCTTTGAATCCTTTGTAGAATTCTAATGTCGGTTGCTTCGGTTGCTTTTGGAAATTCACAATACTGTTTCCTCTTATCGTCCCACGAACCAGCGGGTCTTCCTATCTGCTTCTTTTCAAAGATTTTGTCCATCCTTTCCCTACTAGTATCTCTTCTCCTCCTTTTTAGCTTCAGTAAGTCTCCATTATGGTTTTGATGAACTTATTACATCTGTTCAGTTTGTTTGTCAGTTCTAGCAGTTTATCGGTGTTCTCATCCATATCACTCATAAATATATAGCTATTTATATGTATACTGTATATATATATATATTAAGTTAATCCGTATCACCTACTGCCTATTGATAGTTGTTTTTTGCTACTTCTTGGTGTTTTCATTACATCTTATCATTAGGTTAGTGCTTTCTTTGTCCTTGTCTTCTGGCGTAACTTGGCGGTTCCACGAAAAAGAAATACTGTGTGCTTCAGTGTCTAGTTTTGTCTCCGTTGTCATCTCTGCTTACATTCATTGTCTTATCACTCTTGCTGAGTTTGAAGGAGCACGGATTACACTTAGACTTTATACGTACCTGTTGGGTTGATTTCTAGTTCATTTTGTATTTGTAACTTTCCTCTACATAAAGGACATTCACAGGTAATGAATTTGCTTTTTGGTTTTTGTTATTCATCCAGTTTTATGGTAGTTGGTTCTTCATCAAATAGTTCAAACTCTTCAGGGATGGGTGCTTTATTCATCTTTGTGTTTAGTTTTTTGTTCCAGTGGCATTTATATTACTTTTCAGATAAGTCGCTATTAACCGTGACAGTTCCAGTGAAAATTTACAACACTGTTTAATTTCAGAATCTTTGACAACGGGGTATTTATCATCACTAATTCTATGCTCCGTATCATCCATCGCTGTTATGTAAGCATCGTATTCAGAAAGCGTCATACTATATACAGTATATATTTAGGTTTTTTCTAAAATAAAATATTACAATAGCAAAATCTAATGATAGTGCTTGGGGGAACACTATGTATGAATTCAGCTTGGCAAATCTCAAACACTAGGGTGGGGCAAGTCCATCACAAAAAACAAACAAATTAGCGACTTATGTGGATTGAAGCGAACTGTCCCTAAATGGTGTCCTATAATAAGAATATAAACATGCTATTTTCTAAAAAAATTTAAATATATTCCAATGATAAATATCAAACCCTATAAACATAAGGAATACAGCAGTAAGCAATCAAAGTATGGTTATATGGCACCGCTTCCCGCAAGAATTCTATTGAATGCTCCGTCGGAAACGGGGAAAAGAGTAGCACTGACAAACCTGATAATGGACATCTACAAAGACTGCTTTGAATAGATATACATATTTTCACCCACCGTCTTTATAGATGACACTTGGACAGACAGTGGTAAAGAAATACATTGAACATGCGATGGAAATCAAACACACCGACTAAGACCCCATATACTTTGACAACTTTGAGGAGAAGGACTTAAAGAACATCATAGACACGCAGGAGGGAATAATAATGTATATGAAGGTGAAGGAATACAAGCACCTATACAACATATGTATCATCATAGACGAATGGGCGGACAACGAACGGGTGGTCAGAAAGAACAAGGAACTAATCAAACTCTTCACAAAAGGGAGGCATTGGTATGTATCACCTTCATGACTTCGCAGTCCTACAACAAATATCACCGGTAGTCAGAAAGAATGCCACACAACTCTTCTTCAGACTTCGTAATCAAAACGATTTGGAGGCAATATTGGATGAGTTAAGCGGACTGTATGACAAGAAGACACTGGACAAGATATACGGAATTGCGACGGATGACCGACACGGTTTCCTATATGTTGATTTGATGCAGTCCGATAAAACAAAGATGTTCTACAAGGACTTGAACAAACAAATCGTCGTCAATCAAAAATAGAAATTAATAAACACGTCCCATACCTTCAATAAAATCATTTATAAACATGTATAAACATGTATAATATGCTATTTGTTTGAAATTGTCGTGAGGGAGCACTTCTATTGGCCAAGAGAGCAGGAATCAAAAACGACGTGAATGAGCAAGAGGGAACGCACAACGAAGAGGTAAAAGGAAAAGAATAACAACTTGAAGAAGAAGAAGAAGTACAACCTAAACAAAGAAGAGAAGAAGAAGAAGAAAAGAAGAAGAAGAAGAAAAGAAGAAGAGAAGAAGAATGCCCAAGTGATGACCAAAACGGATATGAACAAGTTGAAGCAGAAGAACTACTCCACGAAACCAATTCAACGAAGCGGTCTTCTGTGCCGACTGTAATAAGTATATGTCCAAGCACAACTAACGCTACAACCACCTATGTAAGCCGCTTCAGAAGAAGAAGCAACAAAACGCTATGGTTAAGACTGCCATTGACGCGGAGCAGATGAAAGCGGATATTATGAGACACATAAAAGGAAGGAGGCCGCAATCAAAGAAGAGAAGAACACCCAAAAATAACTATAAAATTAAAAGTTTAGCATCCAAAATGTTAGAACTATATATATATATGTCGATTGACAAGCAGAAGATGGGTTATGAGGAAGCAAACACTATAGAGCAGTAAGAACTTATCGGGAAGCAGTCCCGTAGATATGAACCAGAAAAATATATACTTCCATAGACCACTACTCTCACGTTGACAACAACAGTGCTAGAGCGCCAGACAACAACTACCAGAGACACCTAATTAAAGAATATGTTGGAGTATCACAACCTTGAACACGACTATAAAGTCCTACGAACCAAACACAAGATAAAGGAGGAGAACGAGATGATGTCAAACGAAATACAGAGAATAAGACAGATAAATAAAAACCACAGACTGACCGAAAACGGGGCAAATGTTCAGGCGATGAGGAACAGGATAGATGAGTATAAGACATGGTTGCGAGGTGGAGAGGATCAATAGTCTAATTTACATTGTCTGATATTATACTATTATGACGACTGCAGTCATCAATGCTGAACAGGGATTGACAAGAGTGCCCACTTATGCTGGAGTTTATAAAGGAACTAGACAAATAAAAATTAAGACCAATGAAATAAGGAAGGTGTTTGATAGGAACGCATGGTACTTTCACGAAAGTCCACAGGGTCAAGCACGGAACACAAACAACATCCACCCAGCAGACTTGCAGCACATGAACTTCAAAAAATAGCAGAGGAAGCGACCACAAGGAAGGAAGAAGAGCGGTTCGCTCCCTCCTCCATTCATCCTCCAACTTTTGTATATATCATCCATCTCATCAATCGACGCGTCATCGTAATGGCTGTCGTCGTGTATATCTTTCATATCAAAGCATAAAACGGAGAAAACTCTCATCCGCCCATCCACCAATCCATCCAACTGCTCCGCACGAGTTCCAGACCTCACCTGTCATCCTGAATCGATGGATACATGTTGTTGTTACATAAATGTTTGTACATCGAAGCGTGTATGGGCGTATATGTATAATGTAAATGTCTGTGTGTATGTGTGTCTGTTCTATGTAATTACATAATTATATGTGCATTGGTTGAGCTGTTCATGAAAAAAGGTTGTCTTTGAACATTGTCTGGTCAAAATTCACGCTCCACCCTATGGTTGAAGTCTGAAGACTGTTTGCAACGTCATTCTTTCAATTCTCCGGTTCAACCTTCTGATAGACAACGACAGTGATGTCATCTCAACCTAGGAGTGCGGAGGATGCGAAGGGTGAAACAGTTGTCTTTCCAACCATTTGGAAAGGTTTTGGAAACATCTGGATGTGTTCAGTCCAAGATAGAAGGGTTATGTTCTGACCGTTGGAAATACGAATTGCAACAAAGACAATTTGATCATATTTGATCAGGTTTCACCGGTCTTAGGACAGGTTCTTTCCGAGTTCCAAAAAGTGGAACAAGGCCCCTCGAGCAAGGTCAAGATATGCGGTGTTTGCAAACCTGGACGTCATCGCACTAAGTTGGGACGGCTCTGCATTCGAATTCCGTTCGAAGACCTGTTTTTTTGGAAAGCTGCCACAACATGCCACAACCCTTCCCGGATGCTCTTTTGCTGGAATATAGGATGGAAAGAGGTTGACGTCAGCAACTTTCCAAGAGAAAGGAAAGCAATGAGTTCATATTCCAAATCGCTCAGCGAAGTTGGCACTGGTGAAACTGAAACACTGCAAAGAGAGCAGCTGAAACACTGCGAAGTTGGACAGAAAACGAATTGAAAGAAGAACGGCGTCTTCCCAGCTGTTTGCACACATTCCATTACACTGATACATCATTGGCGTCTGAGTCAGCGTCTGAGTGAGCAACATTGGAAAGCTCCGGCTCTGCGATGAATTCATCGCGACGATTGGGACGTAATGGGACATGATGACTCCAGGAAAAAAAGGATATCATCGATCTTCGAGATGAACAAGATAGACGTAGCATCCTTCACAAATTCCATGGAGTTCGAGGAATCCATCAAAGCCAGCGGCAACACACAGAGCATGGTTTTCTGAAAATAGCAGTTGACCAAAAAGGACATGGTTACTCGGCTCAATGGCCAGTGCACTCGGGTTCTGAAGCCTGGCTTTCCGAAGTACACACTCCAGAATTTTTCCCATTCAATCCTCCACTGATCCTGAATGATGTCCACAATTTCCTGCATGAAAGACACGAAGGCACCAGCGACGAAAAATCCTGTTGACTTCGCTGGGACAGATCCGTTTGCATAGGCTTCGCGCTCCAACACCCCTTGCAGGACGAAGCTGTAGAGCATCACCTGGCCACCAAAGATCGCCAAACACTGAAGCATGTTCCCTAAGTGAATGTCCGTGTACACACTGGTCGGCATCAGAGACTCCACCACGAGTATCGATGCGCGCCTCTCCTCCTTGGCCGCTCGAAGTTGTGTGGCGCAAAAAAAAGATCGTGAAGACACAGAGAATCAAAGGCATCACCATGCATACTGCCAAGGCAGCAGCTGGTGAAGATTTCAGGCTGCCGAAGACCAACAGCTGCCACATTATGCTGTCTCCGAACCGGAAAATGGTGAGCTTATTAACCTCATCTCGTTCTTCCTCCGGCGTCTTTGATCCTTTCGTTGTGACTGTCTCATGTGCTCGAAACACGCAAGTCTGGAGAATAACTACCAACAGTTGGGTGGTGAACATCACCAGCCCAACAATGACCTGCCACCTGCTGACCCAGGCAGCAAGGGCCTCCATAACATGCTCCATGCCTAATGAATGGTTCGATTGAGCCTCTGGTGCCTGCAGCACATCTCAGCACATGTTATCGTTGGGTCCTTGCGCCATCTTGCGCCCACATACTCAAGGTTGGCTTCGCTTGGTATGATATGTATTGACTAAGTTCATATTTCATCTATTTTCTTGTGTATATAATTTGTTTTTTGCTTTACATACGCGCTTGTGTTCTGAGACACTCAAGCGGATGCTTCGCACGTTAGGTTTATCTTTTAGATATCTCCTTGCCTATACATACATTTGGTGGCAAGTTGTATGTGTTTTTCCCAATGCAGGCGTGCAGCCCATACCCTCCCTGAGTTTCCGGCAAGAGAAAGAAGGCCCACGAAGATGAGATTGGTGAAGGTACATCATCAGCGGAAGGACATGACACAAGTAGCCAAGAATAGGCACAAAAAGACAATGAATGTCCCAAACGAATCCCTCATCCAAATCAAACATCCAGTGAAAGTTCAGGGCAAAATTGTCCCACAATCCCCACAAAGGTAAGGATGAAACATGGGACAACTACATAAACACAATAACAACCAACATAAACCCTTGGGATGTCCTAGCATCCCCCCCTCTTACCAATTTATTAGGGAGGGATTTGTATTAGGGAGGGATTTGGGGGCAGGGAGCGCGGCCTCCCTCCAAAGCATGGAAATCACTGAGTTTCTGCCCCTTTCTTCTGTCCTTTCTCTGTCGCTTCCTTTGCATGCTCCATTGCTCCCTCTTCCTTCCATGCATGCTGCTTGCTCTCTTTCTTGCTGCGTTGATTCCTTGCTTGCTTCCTCTTCCTTGATTTATTTTTGTTTTTTGCCTTGCAGAGAAAAAACATGTGGCTGGCGAGTGTAACCACGCCTGAAGATGCGATTCACAATGGAACTGAATAACCAATACCGTTTTGCCCTCTTCTTTGCAGCCCGACAGGAATGTCTTTCTCACAAGAACAACCAGGACTGATCCTTATCAGCCTCGAGGTACCAGTACTCAGCTGGATGGCAGACAATTTTACAGTGTTGCGCCACCAATGACCATGTTGTGAGAATAATCCTCAAGGTCTAAATGGTTCACTCAATTGTTCAACATCTCTGTGTTTCAAGCTCGAAACCATCACCACCACTCCCCACCCCGGTCTCCACTCGCTTCACCGAGCTTCGCTGAGACAAAACTCGTTCAACAGAACTCGCCGTGTCGCGCACGTGCGCAAGAGCGCGGCAGCGTCCGTCCAGGACCTCCGGTTTGATACGATGTTTGGGACGGTCGCAAAAACCGCTGTCCATGGAGGAAAACCGCACATCTAAGAGCGCAAGCATGCAAGGATTGGAATTCTAGTTCTGGAGCCTTAGCTGATGTTTTACAATCCTAACGGAGAGGGTTTTTCTATGTTTTTCTTCATCAAGGACAGTGACATACCGTTAGTCTATGAGTCTGTGAAATTGTGATCCACCGGCATCGCTCGACCCAAGACCAAGCTAGGAACCTGTACTCCAAATGGGGGTTACGTGTCCGCTGAAAAGGGAGTCCGTTCTTGCTTGGGGGCTTGCTGCGGTTTTTGGGATTCACAGTGGTAGCGGAGCCCGGTAACGTCCGGGTCTCCTTCCCCCTTTTTGGTTTGGGGTCGACTCCCTTTTTGGTGGGACACTTAGCCCCCGCTTGGAGTTGTGGCTTTTGGGATGGCCGGACAAACTCAGGCCGTCCCACCATCGGATGGCGATCTAGATGAACCCGTAGCTAGGAGGATCGCCAACCGCAGGTTCACCCGGTGCGCCCGATGGCATGGGGACAGACCGCGAAGCCTTTCTTCGGTTCCAGAGGTTCCTTCGTCTGGAAGGGAGCAAGAAGGGCGCGGTCTATAGTGGACGACGTCGTCAGCGAGACGACGAGGAAGAAGAAGAAGAAGATGGAGGTGGCGACGGCCGGGGGTCGGCTGGACCACCACCATCGTGGGACGGAGTATATACTTCATCAAGGCAAAGCTATGGATCGCCACGACCAAGGCCAAGGGCCGCTCCCACGGTCCCCTACTTTTGAAGATGTTGAGTGGCGCTCCATTCGAGCACTACAAACACTGGGCAAAAGACCCAGAATGGATGGCTGATCCGCATGGCGCTGAGCGGCTCCTCAATGACATGGACACCCCAGAGAAGTATGGAGACGATCAACAAGAACACATGCTCACCGCTATGTCCAGGATCACCTACCACTTGAGGCGCCAGCGGAATGAGACCTGGCGAGAGTACTTTGCGAAGTGGGATGGCGCCATTCGCAAGGTCCACCAGCACAAGATCACCCTCCCTGAAGAGTATGAGGGCTTCCTGATGATCAACGGCCTTCAGCTCACCGAGACCGAGACCAAGGCCATGCTGAACTACACTCATGGATGCATCAAGCCAAGCTCCATCAAGAGTTGGCTGAGGAAGAACGAAACCCGCCTGTCAGCTGCTGAATTGGGAGCTGATAAGAAGAAGAACCAAGTCAACTTTCTCACGGAGTTCGAGGGACACCACATCGCGAACAATGACCTCGAGGAGAACGACGAGGACAAGGAGGAGATCGACGAACTTGAACAGTGCATCATGCACCTTCAGGACGATGCCGACGGCGACACAGTCCTTAGTGAAGGTGAGGCCGCCGAGATCCTCTCCACCTACGTGCAGCAGAAGAAGACCTACACCCAATCGATCAAAAATAAAAAGGCCAGAGAACTGGTGCGTGGCTACGGAAAGCGAGACCGGCCACTTCGACCGGGTTCGTACTCGGTCACCATCGCCGAGTTACAGAAAAGAACTCGCTGTGCCGCAACTGCGGCCAGATCGGGCACTGGAAGCGAGACTGCAAGAATCCGCCCCAGAAGAACCCGGACCTGAAGACCAACGAAAGTCCCTGGAGAACACCGATGAGGCCTTCTTCATCGGACATCTTGCCGAGGACACGCCGGACTTCGAGCATGACCCGACGATCATGGAGTCCGACGCCCTGAACCTGACTACGAGGTCTTCTGCCATGTACTGAGCGGCATGGAGTGGCTACTCCCCTGAGCCCGGCCGGTAGGACCTGGCAGCCAAAGGTTGGCTATGCCACGGATGCTGGACGCCCGTCCGCGTCGGCATACATGGAGAGTGACCTTTTTCGTCCGACCGGTGTTGAACATTTGTTTGTTTTCGAAAACATGTTTTGCAACCTCGTCTCCAAGTCTCCCCAACGCATGACATGGTGGACGCGACTTGTGCCACCGTCGACACAGGGTGCCAACGACTTGCCATCGGTGCACGAACACTTCGAGAGTTCGCTCAACATCTCCCTGAACCCCTGAAGATCATCCTCACTCCCGAAACGAATAGGTTCAGGAGCGTGCATCAGACATCAGTCACATCCAAGGTTGCTACAATCCCATGTTCTCATGGGTAGCAAGGGAAGCTTCCTGAAGCCTGCCGTCTTTGAAAACGAGGAAAGCTCTGGTGCGCGCTTCCTCATCTCTCTCAGCTTCCTACTCCATTGTCATGGAGAAGTTATCCTTTGTCATGAACAAGGCCTCCAATTACGGCTTCGAGGAACTCCCGAACCAGTTCCCCTTCACCTTGGTCGAACTGGTGCTTTACGAATTCCACTTCAACAATACAACCAGGTGCAAAAACAGGCACTCGAACGAGAACAAAACTCGATGAACCAGAGCACTTCGGTCGAGTTTGAGGTCTTGAAATTGCAAGACGGCTGCATGGAACCGCCGAAGCTGAGTACCACTCAAGCCACGAGCCCTTTTGCTACTCTCTGCACTCAGCCGCTTGCCACGCAGACCGCTGGCCAGAAACGTGTTCGGGCCAGTTCAACTCCCGAGGAAGAAGACCTTCAACAACATCGAGTCCTTCAATCGTGGTTCCGCCTGATGAGACGCTTCCTACTGGTCCTGATGCCCCTTCAGCAGATGCTGGAAAGGTTCATGGACCACATGCTCAGCACCAAGCCACATCGAGAGGCCCTGAAAGAGATGATTCGAGCCCTACCAGACGAAGATCTACCGATGATCCAGAATGTGGCCCGCCAGGAGATGAATCGACGAGAAGATACCGGGCATCGACCTCAGGAAGATGGACATTGGTCCAACCTCAGCGAGACCAGCACTCATCCAGCTCGTCAACCACGACCTCCTCCGGATCCCGTTCTCACCGAAAGGTGTCGGCAGATCAACAGTCTACCAGGTATCGAGATGATCTTGGAACCACGCCCGAGGTGTCATTGCGCCCTGCAGTGCAAGATCCACCTCAGCGACTCGGGCCCAACGGGACACAACTACGAGAAGCTGTACTTCCGATGCCCCCTGGAACTGGGACATCAGTGCCGCTTCGTCCAGTGGTGCGATCAACAGCCTCTTCTGAGCCTCGAAAGCTGGCGTCACCGGCAACAGCCTGGCGACGATCCTGTGAGCTACACACAGATCCTGGAGGCCATGATCCAGACCAAATGCCAACACAAGGAGACACATCGAAAGGGATCGAACGCCTTTCTCACCAAGGTCACCTGTCGCACCTGCAACAAGGTCATCAAGTCCGAGAAGATCGGGAAAAAGGAAGAGGGGAACAAGTGCGACATCCTCGAGCTCGGCTCCACCATCCCGCCAGGGGATTCCCTCTCCGGCGACCCCTCAGACACAACCTCGGACGGCGCCGATCTGGAGCACCTGACCGACTACCAGGAATTTCAAGAATACCTCCGTTGGAAAAACCAACGACAACCTCCGAAACGGGCCGAGCAGTGAGACAGTTTACCCCAAAGCTGGAACGGAAGCTTCGAGCTGCCATTAAGAAGGCAACGGCTTTTTGGCGAGAGCTTCAATTGCTGCTGGCTGACGCGCCTTTGCAGCACTGGGCTCAGGCCTTAAATGACGAAATTTGCCAGGAGTTCACTATGAATCCAGCCGGCACAAAAAGATCTCGTGAGATTGCTGAAGTCATGGGGCTAACAGTTAAACAACTTAAGACTGTAGCCGAAGTGTACAATCCTGGCTGTTTTCAGAAAATTACTGGTCGTTTTCAGTTGTCTCCCGGCCGCGCATTCGATTTGAGTCTAGGAGATGGTTTGCTAAACGAAGACAAACAAAACGAAGTCACGCAGTATGTCAAGGTCACTAAACCAGGACTTGTTTGCATTGCACCACCTTGCAAGATGTACACCCAGCTGCAAAACCTCCGAAACGTGCCCGACTGCCTGACCTCATGAAACGATACTTGAAAAACCAAGGCAGAAGGTGACAGGTTACTGATTTTTGCCATTCGGTTGTGCGAACTCTGCGACGACCTCGGGATCAAGTTCATATTTGAGCATCCACATGCCGCTTCCTCCTGGAAACACTGTGCCATGGAGCGGCTGTTGGACCGACCGAATGTCATCTACACCAAGGCTGACCAATGCCAGTATGGGCTGCAGGGTCAGTCAGGCCTTCCTCAAAGAAAAAGAACCGGGTTCGCCGCGAACTCAGAAGCCATTGCTCAAGCTCTATGCAAGCTTTGCCCTGGCAACCATGAACACGAAGTCATCATTGGCGGCAACCGGTCCCAACGATCACAGGTATACCCGGAGAAACTTCGATCGGCCATCTTGAAGGCCTACAGCCAGTCCATCAACGTGGACTATGTGGAAGTGGTCAGCTCCGAGAGCATGCTGGCCGAGAATCGCCGGTTTAACTACCTCATTGACACCGAGTTCCGAGCCTTGAAGGACCTACAACCGGAAGTACCTGCTGGTCACACCGAATGCCGGGACCCCGATTCTCGAGTCCTTGACGATCCAGTTTCACCTACCTGACCTACCGAACTATGTCACTGCCGAGATCCTTGTGAATGAAGAGAACCGAGAACCTCATGACCCTGATGAACCGGGGAACCAAGAGGGCGATGGGGAATCACAACCAGAAGATGAACATGAAGAAGGCGAGACACAGGAAGACGTTCCATGGGAAAACGGGAGTGTAGTGGTAGCTGTTGGGCCACCCGACCCTCGGACAGATTCGTTAGGATCCTTCGGTATGCGAAGGCCAAACCCGAAGTCATCGAGGCCACCTCCGGTGCAGTGTGTGTCAGCGACACTCCCAAGTGAAACCTGCTCGGAGAAGTGCACCGCCAAAGGAACTGGCATTCAATGAGTGCGTTGGGGTGGACGTCATCTTCCTACCGACGCTTGGCAGCAGGTCACGCCCAGCCCTGAATGTCATCGACTGGTCAAGTAAATTTCAACTCAT